TTGGGAGTTCTGAGTGGCTCATTTTCGTGGCCACCATACCTGGGCAAATTCTGTAAAAGGTGTACCATAACATCGGGACTTAAGGGACGAAACATGTAAAAGCAGGGCCATTTGGGTGGCTCAGTCAATTAAGCGTGCTACTCTTGGTTTCAGCTCAGGTCATGATCTCATGTTTCATGAGTTTGAGCCCCACCTTGGGATCTGTGCTCACAGTGCGGAGGCTGCTTGGGATTCTTTGTCTCCCTCTCTCTCTGCCCCTCCCCTACTCACACTGTCTCTCTCAAAATAAATAAACTTAAAAAAAAATGTAATAACATGCTTCCAGGCATGCCCAAGTTATGCAGCTAAGGGACCTCGACTTGTCTGTCCCAGACATGTCAGTGATTATCTAGGCTGAGAATCTAAGATCCGGAGAGGAACCCAGCATTTTAGGGTACGGATGTCCTTACCTCCCTTACAACAATTTGCCAAGTTGCACAAACTGTGGTCCTTACTCTAAAGGAATTTCATGCCTTTTTTGAGGGGGAGGGAGGGTCTTAATCAGAGACATTAACATTAGCAACTGATAATGTAGGTTTCCTTTCCTTGACTCGGGTAGCAAATGACTCATGTGAGCTGAGGGAAGGAGCATATTGTTTGCCTAGTGAAGCAGTGTCACTCTTGACAGTCAGGATACCATCCTCATGAGGCCAACTGGTGGCATGGTCAATTCTAGAGTTTCCACTGGGGTACAAGTCAGGTGTCAGCACTTCACAGGGCTTAAGCTTGCACAGCAATTTCTCCTCTCCTGTCCTCAACACCCTATAAGTTAGGCCCTCATTCCTTCCTACGTGGTCCTGGTTAATTTAACAATCAACTGTCTTTTTCGAAAGGCCCCAGATTCATATCCCCAGATATGACCTTTTGAGTGACAACCAATTTTCTACACCACGTGTAAGAGAAACGATTGAGCCACACCAACATCTCACAGCCCCACCATAGCTCAAGCCTAGGAATTGACCAGGACCCTTCTGGAAACACTGCTTTAACCTAGCGGTGGCATTTTAATCAGATGGCAGGGTCTTTATTCTGGGGAAGGTATTCCCTCCTTTATTTCAAGAACAAGTGGTCTGCCAAGCCCGCCACTTTCATGAACTCACAGTCCACCCAACTGTTGGCAACTCACACAGAGCTTAGCTTACAGAACAGAACCTCCAGGTCTTTTGACCCAATCATCTGCTAAGTCCTGAATTTCCTTTGTTTTCCTCTCAGAGGAGAACATTTCCTTTTAACCAAATCCAGATATTGTTAGTTTCGGACCACGTCCAGCCTGTAGGTGAGCCCTTCTGCTTATTGTAGCCATATACGGATAAAGCTAGTGTTACTTTTAGGGACTAGTGAGGTTCATGGCCATGGCAGCCCTCCTCACATCCCATCCCAACACCAGGCTCCTTATTTAGCCAGCCTTGCACCCTGCTTTCTAGAGCAAACACACAGCTCCACCACTGTTTTTCCCCCCTTCAGTTGACCTCTGTGATGAGCCCTGACCTGGGTGGTTCTAGCTATGTGTCTCGCCTCTTCCACTGGGCGGTGGTGCTCCCGGCCGCGGCACGCAGAAGAGGGTAAAGTATCAATGATAATATTCACGACTGTCTGCTTTATTTTCATTTTAAACGTAGGAGGAATAAGTTGTGGGGGAATCAGCCTAGGCTGCCCCGGAGACGGAGACGTCAAGAATGAAAGTGAACTTCCACCCAGGTTTCCCAAATCCTGCTTAGCTGTCAGTAAAGGACAGGATGTAAACATGAGGATATGAAAAATTTAATTACACGCCACCTACTGTCATTTTCCTTTAATAGGATTTTTAATTGTTGCTTCCCCTGTGAATTGGAAGAACTATACTTATTCTGCAACACTGCTTAAAATCAATACATTAGGAAGGGACTTTGTAAACTATAAAGGGATAAATAAACAGAAGCAATTGTTACCAACACGCAGAAGTTGACTCATTAAAATACAAGGACATACAAATGTCTGTTTCCAGAATTTCATTTGACAGCCAGTCACCGAGATGGGAGACAAGAGTACCGTGGAAGAGAAAATAATGGCGTTTGGTTTCTTAGGAATGCGGGGGTTACTCCCAGGACCTCTGTCATCCGCTGTTGGAGCACCAGGCTCCGTGACAACAGCAAGCCTATACCTATGGATCTGGTCCTCCTGGAATCGAGTATACTCCGTTTGCTGTTCAGCTGGAAAACATCTTCAGCCTTTCCAACCTAATCCCGGAACCGTGATTTGTGGCAACAGAAATACCTCAACTAAACGCAAAAAAAAGACGCTGAGGCAAGAGGCCAGAACTGTGCCGAGCAGGAACCCAGAGTCCACGCTTGCCCAGGGCTGCTGCCGCTGACCGAAAGAAATAAAAGGGTAAATCCTCTCTTGCGCTCCCTTCCCCCACACTACAGTTTTCTGGATTCAAAGTAAGTAACAAGAAGCCAGCAGGAGTCTGCGAAGTGTAGTTTCCAAGATTAAGCCCTTTGGATCTGCAAGCAAACAAATAACCAGTGTGGGTAAGTTAAGAAGCAAACACACAGCTTCCCATTAACAACAGTAGAACAGAATTGCCAGTTAAACCACCGCAACCACCTCATCAATTTAAAGAAGATGTTTACTTCAGATCCAGGGACCATCCTGTGAAATTCAGACCCAGTTCCACATGAAATGAAGAAATCTATCAGGCTGAGACTGTACCGCTCGCCCAAGAGGCAGACAAGTTCCTGCCCCTGGCAGTCAGAGAGGCAAAAGACGCCAGCAGTTGGTACACATAGCAAATGCTTTATTTTCATATTAACATTAAAACATAAAGCACAAACATTAAAACACAGAACATGAACAGAGATCCCACTGCCCTGTTTGTCACAGCAGGCACAAGGATATATGCCAATAAGATATTTGGAGTCTGCTTAACTCCAAACCCTCATATGGGAAACCTCCCTTAGAGACAGGGGGGAGGGAACATGTCGGGGCAGAGCCTGCTGAAGCACAGGAGACCAGAGCCTGGGACTACATGATCTCCTGCTGGATGAGGGATGCAAGGGTAGGATGGCTGGGGGCAAGGTCTTTTCTTTTAAAGAAACCAGTTGAAGTTACATAAATTTCTCTCTAAAATGTCCAAATTTACTGGAGGAATGCAAGAATTGGCAAGACATGAGATTCACCCAACTTCCCTCGTAGTTAAGTCCCTTGGTTCCTCTGCGTGGCGGAATCAATCAGCATCCGCCTTGGTCAAATCCTAACCCTACCGTGGGATTTGTCTCTGCCAAAGACAAAGGCAGCCAGGGCCAACTGCATCCTCTCTGATGACCTGCTGAAACCAGATGAGTCCTGCTTTTTAATCCAAATCCCTTTCTGCCACTGATGCTCTAGGTCTGGGCCGTCATTCTGAATCATCAACATATTGAAAGGAGTATCTCCTCTGAGAAAAGGGGGCTCTTTCCCAGGCTCTGGAAACTGGCTTTTTGAAAGATGTCCTAAAACAGAAGGAGGCCACTCTTTAGAAGGCACAACAGGAACTTGAAACTCTGGGGATATCTGTGGCAATAACCCTCTGCTGGTGAGAAATGCTGGAAACCGCTCAGGAGTTGTCGGTCAGAACTATTTTAAAATAAAAATAATAACGCTTCTAGAGCAATTATTTAAAAAAGTCACACTGTTGGCCATCCTACTTCCAAGAACGGGGCACTGACCGCCCACACCCTGAGGCGCGTTCTATTGTAGACTGCGGTTTAGCAGAGCAGCCGTAGGCGAGGCAAACAGATACAAACGGAAGCCTTTCCCCCTACTGGAGAAAAGTGAAGTTCGCAATGTTGGACAATCCATGGCTGGAACAAAAGCTGATGGGCTTCTCCCTGCAATCTGCACAGGTCTCCAACCACTCTTATCTTCCTGAGAATATTTCACTGACAAGAGTCTTTAAAAAGGCTAGAAGGGAGGCTTATCAGAGGAAGCTGAAGTCACACACCAGTTTCACATGCGGAAGGCTTTAGCTTCTGTTCCCAGCAGTGGTCTCAGCAGCTTCTCTTTTGCAAGCCTGTCTTGCTTAGCCCCTCTCCCTTGACCTCTTTTACGGGGAGAGAATCAAACAAGAGCTGTGACGTGTTGCTCATGTTTTCCTAGTAAGACGGAAAAGGAGGGGTCTTCAGAGCACTGGTTTATGTAAAATCAATCCGGAGGTCCTCAGACAGCAAGAAAAAAGGAGGCTTCCCCACTGCTCAAACAACCGGTCTCTTCTCTCGGCTCCCACGATGTGATGAACCTAATGTACTCAGCATTCCGAAAGGGTCCACAGCGCATCAGCTGCCTCCATCACTGGGCCTGCCAATATCCCAGCACCGCACACCTGGAATGTATCTGTTGCTGCCACAAAGTAGACCAGATGCGCTCGACCTCACACTTCTGCGGGGATGAGACCAAGTTGCTGAAAGGCTGTCAACACGCAAGGTCAGAAATGGATCAAATTCTTCACCAGGTCGTACACTGCCCTCTTGTGTTCAACTGAAGACTCTTCTGCATCCACGCAACATGGAGATGGTCAGTCTCTTCTGGGACGTTAGCATCCGTTCCTGAGTTTGAGTGACAAGACCACTTAGGTGGGTGTCACACCCTCCAGAAAATGCTTGCTGCACACTCGTTCTAAATGACTGCTGGGAGGATACTCTCTGAGGTCCAGTAGAATGTCTGATCGGAAATACAGATTCTCAACAGATTCATGAAGGCTTTGAGCACAAGACAATGATAATGTAGATGCAATTACCAATCACGTATTCTTTGGATGGACACCGCAAATACGCAGTCTGTAGTGTTTCAGTGACCTGGCCTCTTAGAATCACATTAATCCAAAGGAACCATGATCCCAGAAGTTCTAGGCCACAGACAGTAAGCAGAGATCTTGCTCAGGGCTGTTACGTGCTAGCAAACATTTAACATTCACCAGCAGCATGCCTGACAAGTTCCAGACACAGTCACTCCCACCGATACATGTGGACCATCTTCTCTGTTAAGGTAGCCAAGTAGCTGTTGTGGTTCACCTCAAAAGGGCAGATGTCCAAGACGGGCTGATCGGCCTGCAGTTCCTGTAGCAACGAGCCACTGCCAGCATCCCACAGCTAAAGAAGACAGACAGAGTTCAGGGTCAGGAGTCATTCAATTGAGCTGGGGGACTTGCTTGCTCTATTGCTATATTGCTATACAATATAGCGGTTCCACAGCTCCGTACAACACCCGTTGCTCACCACGAGTGCACTCCTTAATATCATCGGACAACTTTGAAAGGGCTGCAGAGAGAGCGCTGCCAGGGGAGTACGACAGACTGTTCTCAACCTTCACAAAGCCAGGACACACAACATCAGGCGTGGGCTCTGCCACTGTGATCAGCAATGAGTCTACCTCTGAAAAGCAAGCCCAGCATTCAGCTCTTCCATCAAGGTGCCAGCAACTCTTCTAGGCACAGAACACTCAGCAAGACAGAAAGTCCCTTTCTCAGCCCTCATGAAATCTATCTAATAACTAGCGCTTTCTTTTCCTTTTCAAAAACTTTTTGTTATGAAAAAATTATTTTTTTTTAACATTTATTTATTTTTGAGAGACAGAGCACAAGTTGGGGAGGGGCAGAGAGAGAATGAGACCGAGAATGCAAAGCAGGCTCCAGGCTCTGAGCTGTCAGCACAGTTCGAACTCACGAACTGTGAGTCGGATGCCCAACCGACTGAGACCCCCAGGCGCCCCTGTTATGAAAAAAAATTTTAGGGGGCACCAGGGTGGCTCAGTCGGTTACGTATTCGACTTCAGCCCAGGCCATGATCTCACAGCTCGTGAGTTCGCGCCCTGTGTCGGGCTCTATGCTGACAGCTCAGAGCCTGGAGCCGGCTTTGGATTCTGTGTCTCCCTCTCTCTCTGCCTCTCCCCTCTCGTGCTCTGCCTCTCACTCTCTCAGAAATAAATGTTAAAAAAATTAAAAAAAAAATTTTAATATAAAGCATAGTAGTACAACAAATTAAGCTTTCACCATATCTGCTTTACTGATTCTATTGTTTTCTTTACTGACTTCATATCATTTTACCCTTAATCTATAGTGTTATCCAGTATGGTGGCCACTAGCCACATAAAGCTATTTAAATTAAAAATGAAAAAAAAAATTAAAAAAAATTAAAGTCTTCATTCACACTAATCACATTTCAAGAGCTCATGTGGCTAGCACAACTGTATTGGTCAGCAATGCTCCAAAGCTTGATTACATTTAGGTTCAAGGGCATCTCATAAAAGGCGCTATGTACTTCCTATCTTCTTACATCAAGAGGCAAATTGGGGTGCCTGGGTGGCTGAGTTGGTTAAGCATCTGATTGTTGATTTTGGCTCAAGTCTGATCTTGTAGTTTGTGAATAACTTGAGCCCCACGTTAGGTTCCTTGCTGACAACATGGAGCCTGCGTTGGATTCTCTCTCTCTCCCCCTCCACTGCTCACACACGTGCGCTCTCTCAAAATAAATTTAAGAGGCGAATTATTTTTTGTTAACCCACTTACAGTGATGTCGATCACTGTGTTCAGGTTATAAAAGACTGACCCATCCACTCTACAATCCCCCATCAATCATTCATCTTTTGGTGATGAAACTGTTGCCTGAAACAATTGTTTTATAGGAGTTTCAGTAGTTCCTTAATTTTTGTTTTAAAGGTTCACAAGACGGCCCATGGGATACTACAGCTCATATAAAAAAGAATGAGGCGAATCTACAGATATTGAAGTGGAAAGATATCCAAGCTAGGAAGCTAAATGGGAAAAGAGCAAATTACAGAGTGTGTCTCAAGCGTGCCTGGTGTAAAAACAAGCAATCGTACATATACACATACACAGATGTGTGCAATCAAGGAGAACGTCGGTTTTTCGCTTTACATACTTCTGTATAAAAAAATAATAGGCTCACCAGGGCAGAATTTGATGCTTCATCCCCAGTACACACCAGGATGCTGCCATCACTCTCCGGGTTTTGGAAAATGGCACTTTTGGTCAGTAGTTTGCAAGAGGGTCCCCCAAGGAATGTTTGCACAGGATGGCAGGAACAGACCAGCTCTCCAGCATCGTCCAGCGTGGAGGACATCTCCATCAGCACACTTCGTAAAGTGCTGTGATTTTTATCTACGGGACAGAGGAGTCAGTGTTGCTCCGTGGGGATGATCCCAGGAAATTAATGAAGATCCTGAACCTCACACGATTACAAACTACTGAGTGGAAGAGCCACAGTTTATTAGATCATCAAGAGTAGCTACAAAGCAAACAAAGCAACAAGAACAAAATAATACAGCACAAATGAAATTCCGAACCGCAGGCTAGGATAAAGCAAGTTATCTACAATAGACTTTTGCCTATGAGGGAAACAATTCTTGGCATAAGCTATCCTTTTTAGTAAAATCACTGTATCCTTCCGCCCCCTGCCTCGGTTTTTATCTTCCTTCAGGGCAGGCGGATGACACGAAACTGCGCTGAGGGGGATGCCCTGGCCTCAGGGGCAGGACTCTTCATTCCATTACTAAGTCACAGGGGCTCCTAAAGGGGCTAACTCGCTCCAGGGAGTACCTGGCAGAATTTGCCCTGTCACATAAGCGAGGGGTAGAGGCGGCATCTATGGAGGAACGTGGAGCCACTAGCCTCAATATAGTAGCAAGAGCTGTTAGCCTGCGAGGGGCTCTCCGGTGCCACCTGAAGGGCAGGGCAAGCTCTCCCCTCCTCCCCTGAACCGACTTGCTCCCAAACAGAACAAGGACGTCCCAGCACTCACCAGGCCTGTAGGTCACAAGACAATGCCGGGTGCTGCTCTCCGTCTGAAAGTCTACGCAACCCCCTGGCTCTATGGGCAGCACATGAGGACAATGAGAAAAGCCCATCTTTAGCTCCCAGAAGGAAGCGTTCTCTAAGGTTCCAGCCAACACGCCACCATAAGGAAATGCAGCCGAGGCAGCTCTGGGTATGTATGACAGGGAGACCAGTGGGCATCTGAAGGGAAAGAAAGGAAACGATGTGTCACATTCCAATACTTGTACTACTCCAGACTCCACTAGCAGGAGCCCTCAAGGACACTTCCACCTCTACAGAAGAGGTTAAAGACCTTCTGGGGCACCTGGGTGGCTCGGTTGATTAAGCATTCGACTTCAGCTCAGGTCACGGTCTCACAGTTTGTGGGTTTGAGCCCCATACCCGGCTCTGTGCTGACAGCTCAGAGCCTGGAGCCTGCTTCAGATTCTGTGTCTCCCTCTCTGTCTCTCCCCAGCTCGTGCTCTGTCTCGGTCTCTCAAAAATTACCGTTCAAAAAACAAAAAAAAGACCCTCTTTGGGTCACTATCCTTTGACATCTGGTAAAATCTACCAACCCATACTGCAGAAACTTTAAAAGAGTACACATATAATCTTTGGCATCTAATTTCAGAGGAGATGTCGCATATTCTAAAATTAGTTTTTAAAAATGACTAGGGGGGCACCTGGGTGGCTCAGTCAGTTAAGTGTCTCACTTCGGCACAGGTCATGATCTTGTGGTTCATGAGATTGAGCCCTGCATTGGGCTCTGTGCTGACAAGCTCAGAGCCTGGAGCGGCCTTCAGAGTCTGTGTCTCCCTCTCTCTCTGCTCCTCCCTCACTAGTGATTCCTCTCTCCCATCTCACTCTCTCTCAAAGAATAAACATTAAAAAAATTTTTTAAATTAAAAAAAAAAGGACTAGGAAATTTAATACTACAAAGTCACAGTTACAAGAGAGCTTGACCAGTGTGAAGTTTCTAGAAATGGGGTTAGATGTGTACACAAGGAAAGTCAGAAAGGAAATGCAGCTTATACATCTAATAGTCTCCAAGATGCAGTTGACAGACCCTTCAATTAAAATACAGCCTGAAGCAAAAACAGGGGCACCTGGGTGGCACAGTCGGTTAAGCTGCCGACTTCAGCCAGGTCACGATCTCGCGGTCCGTGAGTTCGAGCCCCGCGTCGGGCTCTGGGCTGATGGCTCAGAGCCTGGAGCCTGTTTCCGATTCTGTGTCTCCCTCTCTCTCTGCCCCTCGCCCGTTCATGCTCTGTCTCTCTCTGTCCCAAAAATAAATAAACGTTGAAAAAAAAAAAAAAACAGCCTGAAGCAAAAACATTTTTTTTAGATTTGTGTAAGTAATCTCTACACCCAATGTGGAGCTTGAACTCATGACCATGATATCAAGAGTCACATGCTCTTCTGACTGAGCCAGCCAGGCACCCCTGAAAAAACTACATTTTAATTCAGAAACAGGACGGTTTCATTAGAAATGTTCTAAATCTCTTTCTGCAAGCACATGACCAGGAATGTGTGCCAAGAATTCTCTCAGAAGTGTCAGCCGGTAGACTATGTTCCTGTGAACTTTGTTTCTGCTGAAGTTGCCCAAGTGGTCGCTGTGCCTGCTTTCTTTCATTGCCCCGTCATGTCACAATGAAGCAAACTAAAACAGAAATGAACACTGCATACAACTATTCTTTCCTTGCCATTTGCTCTATTCGATTGCCTACTCTCGAGCAGATCTCTCCACATCAGTGGCAGTTACCATGCTTGCCTGCAGTTCACACTTCTAGAAGTTTACATCAAGTCATCTTCAGGCCTACAGACCACATAACTGAAGCATGATTCTACCCCACTCAAATGAAAAGACCTCAAAGTGTTGAGCCTAGGTTTTCGTAACCAGTTACTACTATGGTGATATCTTCTGAAGAGTCACAGTGGTGCTGGTGACCAGCCATCCTCAGAATCCGGGCTGACTTTATAAACCTCCCAAGTTTGTAAATGGTTATAAAGGATAAATCATAGTAATTGGTATCTTTAGACCAAGTTGGTTTAGCTGGAGATAAGGGAAGTTTTAAATCTTTTTTTTTATAGGCCTACCTCTTACTGATCTCTTCCTGTGTGTTAGACATGTGGCCATTAAAGCAAGTCTGTGTAACAGGCCAAGAATTGAGACCAAGGAGTTTGGTTTTGAACGCAGATCTGACTTCATTTTGCCACGCTGGGGGAGGAGCGACTGTATGAACCTGGCTATACTTGGTACCAGGGCTTTCTACTGTGTAGAAATACCACGATCACATGCTCTAAGGATCTTAGTGATTCCCAAGTGACAACACCTCACTGGACTCAGGAGAACTGCCCTCTGAGGAATTCTGATCAACCGTGAAACACACTCAGAAGACAGGATTCATACAACGGTCCAAGAGAAAGCTGCTACAGGGGAAAAGTAAGTGGCTACCCACCTGGCTTTCTGGGGTACTAACTCCTGGATGTGACAGCTCGTGTTTCGAAGGTCATACACCAGAATTGAACCATTGACCAATCCAGCATAGATGTGATTACTTTCATCAAGACACCAGCAGCAGCTCCAGACAGGACGTCCAGCGTTGTAAGTCTGGACCACTGTATTTGTCTCCAGGCTGTGGCGATAGAAGACTTTTACAACCATGTGTTAAGGAAATCAATTATAAAACAAAGATGTAAAGACTATCACTGAAATGATAATCCCTTAAGAACACACCCCCACACCCAAACTATTTGGGATTTCCAATTTCCTCTAGGGACTGCCCAGGTAATCCCTTTTAATTCCAAAATATTTATTTTGGGGGTTACAGGTTTTCTTCTTGAAATGTAAGGAGATCAAAGAGATATTTAAACAGTACATTCCCTACTCTACCCCTATTTTCTATAATTACTATTATGCAAGGGGCGCCTGGGTGGCGCAGTCGGTTAAGCGTCCGACTTCAACCAGGTCACGATCTCACGGTCCGTGAGTTCGAGCCCCGCGTCGGGCTCTGGGCTGATGGCTCAGAGCCTGGAGCCTGTTTCCGATTCTGTGTCTCCCTCTCTCTCTGCCCCTCGCCCGTTCATGCTCTGTCTCTCTCTGTCCCAAAAATAAA